TTATTATTATTATTATTATTATTATTATTATTATTATTATTATTATTATTATTTATTAACTTTACTTTTCAAATGTGATTCCATTTTTTTCAAATGTAATTCAGTTTTTTCAAATGTTGTTCATTTACACCTTAGGGCCACCGTAAACCCCCATGATTTTATAATATATATGTTTTGTTGGCTAATTCAAAGCTAATTGTAATGTGTTGTATTTAGTATTCCTGAATTAATTTGTTGTGTTTGTCATGAATCTCTGATTCTCTTGCATGGTTCAAATTTATAACCAAACGTAATTTACCATCTCGTCTTCGCTGTTTCTTTTTCCCCCACTGCAGATGCATCTCAAGAAATTAGAATATCGTGAAAAAGTTATTTTTCTTTTGTCAGTCACTTCAGAACGAGAAACTCATAAATTATATATATTCATTACACAGAGTGAAATATTTCAAGCCTTTATTGTAATATTTATGATTATGACTTACAGATAACGAAAAACTAAAATTCAGTGTCTCAAAAAAATAGAATATTGTGAAGAGGTTCAGTATTGTAAACTCCTGGTGTCACACCCTAATCAGCTTAAATCCTAAACATGAACTACAAATGTTCTAGTCCTCAAGTCCAGCCACTCCTGAGACTAGAACCTGAGCTGAGGAGACAAAGGACTGGACTGTTGTTCAGTGGTCCAGTGTCCGCTTTTCAGATAAAAGGAAATTCTGCATATCGTTTAGAAATCAAGGTCCCAGAGTTCACCCTGCACAATGGAGGCTCGTTAGGCTCTTTATCTGCCTGGCTCACGAGAGAAATGGTTTGGTCACCTACATAAAGATGGGAATTGTAGTGGAACTTACTGGGAATCAGGCCTAAAGCTTCTCTGTACGTTTTTGAAAGTCGTTATCTGAGACCTTCTTTGTTTAAATTTGGTTGTTCTTGTATGATGTAAATGTTTTCCTTCACCCCCTCTCAGTCAAAGTTCATGCTCATTAATCCAGGTATAAATCCAGCAACGTTCAGTCAGGTCATCTGGACGGTTTCTTTTGTTGCTGAGACATTTCGTCTTCATCCGAAGGACTTCTTCAGTCTGAGGAGCCCACCAAATCAAAACTGAATCCCACGAACAGCTCGCTCCCAGAGTGGAAAATAACAGTATCTGTCTAAAATATGAACATGTTGGTCCTCAAAAGAATGTCCCTTAACCTTGAGATGTAGGTGGACTGCTCTCAAGGTAAGGGACACACTTTTGAGGGCCATAATCGTCAAAATGACAAAAAATAAAGGCTTGCAAAATTTCAGTCGATTTGTAATTAATCTATATAATATATGAGTTTCACTTTCTGAAATGATTGACAAAAGTATTTAACTTTTTCATGGTATTTTAATCTTTTGAGATGCAGACGAGGAGCTAAAAACGTCTGAGTCAGTTTTCTCTTCTGTCAGCGTGGAGTCTTATTCTTGTCAGGAGGAACTTTTATCATCATGTTTCTGCTTACTGCTCAAATCCTGCTTTTTGTACGGCTGGGAAAAGATCTATTAATAGATGCAAAGAGCTCCACCTTACATGTTCAGTAATTTATCTTCTTTTTTACCCACTGTATAAACCTGCCCACATTACTGTACTGATGATTTCTTGTTTGGCTCATAATAAAGATGATTTATTATTTCTATGTAGATCAGCATCAGTTTCGTTGACTGATTTGTCTCGTCTTTTAGGTGCGATGTCTGGAGGATTCAACTTCCAAGTCAATGACGGTGTTAATTTCACTCCCAGACAGATTTTTAGCATCACCGCCAAAGCTTTAGTTCTGAGTTTGGAGAAAAACGGTCCACTCAAGGTTTTTCCAGGTGAGCTACGTTTTCCAGCAACAAATTTATTGTTCGTTCGCCACTTGAAACATTTTCCGCACACAAACACCAGATACCGTATTTTCCACCGTACACTTTGCACCGCCCTAAAGTCACATCTGTCCAAATATGTCTAATAAAGTGGGAAAATCCATAAATACGTCACTTCGCCGTATACGTTGCATCTATTATGCGTCACCGCTGACGTGTCACATTTGTTACGCGTCACCGCTAACAACCCGGAAGTGTGGGCCAGTATTGTGCCAAAAATCGACTGGCTGCCAAATGGCGGCCGCAGGAGCGTGCACCGGAGGACTTTAACAAGATTTTAACAAGATTAACACTTAAAAACAATTATTTGTTTGCTTGAAATTATAGCAAAGGGTGTGTCTCAGATGAACTTTTACTTAATAAATGCATTTCAATGGTCAAATTAGCTGCATTACACCGGGGCGGTGCAGTGAACTGAAGCTGATTTTGCTCCAGGTGAGCTGGATGAAGGTGGCAGGCTATGGCAAGCCGATTGTGTCATTAATAGCCACTTTTACCTATTACATGACACAACGGCGTGCCATACAACTCAAGTGCCATCTAGCGGTTGAAAAAGGTAGTGTTCAATATTTTCAGTCAGAATGAATGAGAACGTCCATATCTCAGCCAAAAATTGGTCTATAAATATTGGAAAAATATTCATACATACGTTGCTTAGGCGTATAAGTCGCAGGGCATGCAAATTTTGCAAAAAAACATGACTTATGCGGCGGAAAATACGGTACGTGTTGACAAATAAAGAGTGGACGGTAGTCTGGACAGATTGAAACAAAGACTGTCCAGACTTGCAGCTGAATTTGTTTTCTTCTTTCACTAAACTTGAATTTACAGATTTTTGGTTCAGAATGCAGCATAAAAATAACTAAAACCATATATTTAATATTGTCATCTATTAAAGACTCTTTCTAGTACTTTTAATCACCATAGAGAATTGACTTCCTCTTTGCAAGAGCCCATTTTGAAGATTGCCATCAAAAAATACTGAAACGTGTGATTTTGTTTGTTTGATGCATTTGATTTCTCTTTATGTTTATGTTTAATTGTAACCCACTTCTATGTTCAGCCCTCTTACAACTACACTTTCCAGGATTCCTTTGGTTAAACAATTCAGTGCCTTTCCAAGTCATTAAATCATTAAATGGGTGTTGTCTGTGTCTGCGAACATTTTCAAGGTTTTTCAGAGATTTTCAGTAGTTCTCTGTTGTGAGTGCAGCAAACAGCCAGCTGGCACCTTCTGCTGAGGCTCTCAGCCGCAGGATGAGTGGGTACTTGAAAAGCTGGACCACTGTCTGTCCCAGTTGGTGCTGTGTGCCAGCCAGGATGGGGGTGGGGGGGGGGGGGGGGGGGTTGTCTGGATGGGAGCTTTAACTGACAATGAGGGGATTTTTATGGGAAAAGGGATGACGTGAAACACTTTTCATACTGCGGTGGGAAAATAACACTTCTTGTTTTTTCTTTCATTTTCGTTACAAACAGCTAGTCTAAGTGCTTTCTGTAAAACTTGACAACACAGTTTGATAATTATAGTTTCTTGTGTCTCTTTTAGTTTGAGAACTTATCTTTGTGTCTTTTTTAAGGGTTTTATTTTATTCAACTATTTTCATTGAGCCAGGAGGTCTCGCTCCATTGAGACCTGCAGATGCCGCATGTCGTGTTCGTACGACGTGTCCACTTGCTTTTCTAGTACTAAACGCTAAGCTAGAGGACAGCTAGTTTATGCACCATGTTTTGTATTTGCATGAAATATTTTAATTTATTTGTTCTTAAGTGACAACATTCAAAAGACAAAATAAAAAAATATAAAGGCCAAGCACTCCTTGAAGTTATGCATATCGCCCTCCACCTTTCATGCCAGTTTTACACTAAAACCATTCTATAGTAAAACGTGATGGCGTTGTAGCTGATTGAGTAAAACATTGATTATATGCTCAGAGTATGTGTTGTAAATGACTGTCAACTACTACCACATCAAGCTTTAGCTTCATATCTGTAACATTTTATGACTTAAAGCTATTTTTTCTTTTGCGTTTTTCAAGGTTAGTTTGCTGTGGCAGCCATCTTGAATTGAGATTATTCCAAAACTTAATCACTTCTAGTTTTGAGGTAAAACATAACGAATGTAACTGATGTGTTATGATTATCAGTGGTTTTATCACATTGACCCAGAAAAGCTACTGGGAGTCAGAATGTCTATAAAAACATGCCGACTGTACATAACGATAACGTGTGTTCAGAATCTTGTGTCCTGCCTACGCGTTAGACAACTAGTGATAATGTTTTTGTATGTGTGTGTTCAGTGTCGTTAACAAAACGTCTTTCCGACAACCTTCAAAGTAGCAGGAGGATTGTACAAATCTAAATATAAAGAATAAAACAAAAACTTGCAGTGGTTTGTCCTCGTTTAGCAGATATCTCTTGCTTTGCAGTTAATGCCCAAGTTGAAGTTTTGCGCCCACATGAAGCTTTTAATGTCTTGTCTGGAGCTTATGTACCTCCCCACACTGCAGTAGGACAGTGCTGTAAAAATATCTGCAATGCTGCTTCAAAAACCTCTCATTAGTCTTTTCCCACACTTTCTTTTTGTATTGTTTGGAATTTTAAAAAGATGTAGAATAGAATAGAGTAGAATTCAACTTGCACATGTCACAGGTACAAAGCAACGAAATGCAGTTTGCATCTATCCAGAAGTGCTTAGCAAGAAAAATAAATTGGTAGATATATATAGTACAATATACAGTAAGTTGCTTTGAATATGCTATGGTATAAATATATACAGGTTGTGAGTGTACAGACTATGAACAGGTTATAATATGAAGTGGTATAAACAGCTATATAAAAGAAAAAAAAATATATATATAAGTATGTAAAGCACTCCCATGGGGAAAAATTAGCAAAAGTTCATTCAACCTTTATTTAGACAATCCCATTGAGCCTCGAGGACTCATTTACAAGAGAGACCTCAAGTTTGATTTAGCAGCTGCACAAAAGTTTTAACAACATGAAAAACAAAAAATCAAGACCCATACAAAAAAAAACTTTAATTTCTTAAGTTATTGTTGATATGTCATGTTTCTCCAGGTTCTTCTCGACCGCTCACAAATGAGGATTTACAAGCTGGGACCAATGACATCAGCAACACCTCAAACCGAGTTATTACATTCAGCGTGACCCAGCGTCCTAAGCTGGGGCGTCTGGTGAGGAGGCAGTCTGATAATACAACAGAGGACATCTCCGTTTTCACACAAGAGATGGTGAGAGAAGAGTCTGTGAGACTCATCTTTACGTATGTATATTACGAAAATAGAATTAAAGGAATACGAACCAGAGCGTGAGATGAATTATTACGGTTTACTGTAAGTGGAGCACTGCTAGATTTTTGCTGTACTGTATGAATAATACATGTCCACCATCCTTATTGGAGATACTGACTCTGCACTTGCTTAGCTGAATGGTCCATGTAGTGCTTTTATTCAATTATTGCTGATGGGTTTTCATCAAACGCAGTCAAAGTCATGCTTGCTTTGTATTTACTGCTAAGCAAGCAGACTTAAATTATTAATTACCTCCTACAAATTGTGTCTGTCAGACTGATGAGCAATTTTTGAACCCACTGACCCCCTTTTATCTTTGATTTAACTCCTTATTAGTATTGTTTTTGTTTTACAGGTGGACAGAAAGGAAGTTGTTTACATCCAAACTCCCATTGAAAATGTAGGCTGGGAAGCCATGGACTCAATGACCTTTTCTGTATCGTCACCTCCTGCTTCTATAGAAAGTCAGACCTTCAAAATTGACATCTCCTATGAAAATGCAGGATCTGAACGCAACACCGTCCTCCTTGCAAACACAGGTATGAAAAATACTATCAGGTTTTCTTAAATAGGGTGGAGCTTTGCATGCTATTAACTGCACAAAGTGTATCCAGTACTAAAGAGAGAAGCACGGCACTTCTGGACTTTAAATAAATCTTAATGTGTTCACTTACCGTTTTCTTGCTAATAGGTGCTGAGGTGACAGAAGGCATGAGTGTTGTCATTGATGAGTACAAGCTGGATGCCTCAAACTTAATGTCAAAGTTGCCAACACCACAGCGGAGCTCCCACGAGGTCTGGTTTCAGGTGACGTCACTTCCTCAACACGGTGTCATCGTAGTAGGTGAGAGAAATCTCACCAAAGAGAAACCCAACTTCTCTCAGTTCATCGTCAGTAAATATGGTATCACCTACAAGCACGACAACTCCGAGACAACTCGTGATTCTTTTGTGTTCAGCACTTGGCTTAATCCTAAGGGTCAAACTGCACAACCCCCTCAAGATGAGAAGGACGTTGTTGTGGAACATTTTAACATCACAGTCACGCCTGTAAATGATCAGCCACCTCTGCTAAGAAATAAAACTCCAAGTCTGAAAGTGGTACAAGGGGATAAAGTAACACTCGGACCTGAAAATCTCAAAGTTGAAGACTTGGACAATCCTCCAGAGGATATTAAGTTTTCTGTGATTAGCAAACCAAACAATGGTTATCTAGCACTTGTAGGATGTTTGAATGAGTCCATAGTGGCCTTTACTCAAGCCCAGATCAACAACAGAAGTGTTTACTTTGTTCATGATGGCAGCTCTGTCTCAGGGGTGTTTTACTTCAGTGTTACGGATGGACATCACAAACCGATATATAAACTGTTTAACATAGAAGTGACAGAGATCACCATAAATCTGATCAACTACACTGAAGTATTGCTGCAACAAGGCAAAACCTCAGTAGCTCTGACCCAGGACAACCTTGCTGCTGAGACCAACGGAAAAGATGTCACCATTTACTACAAAGTTACAAGACCTCCAAATTTTGGGAAACTTCTGATGGAAAACCAAGAAGTTGCACTATTTCAACAAGAAGACTTGGAAGCTGGAAGGTTGTTCTACCATATGACCGTTCTTTCCTCCTTTGAGGACAACTTTGAGTTCACCGCCTTCACTTCGGAGGCAAATCTTACTGGCCAAGTGCTCAACATAACCGTCTTACCTTTGATCCAGGTTGGCAAAGGTTTGAGAATTCCCAATGGGGTTAGTGTCAAACTCAACTCTAGCTTTTTTAATGTCTCTGAATTGGCTCGTTTGAGTGACAGTGACCCTGTCTTTGAAATTATATGCCATCCTAAGCATGGGAAAGTTGTTCAGATGAAACATAAAATCACCAAGAAAGTTCTACCAGTTGAGTCTTTCACATTTCAGGAAATGATCCAGGAGAAGATAGCACTGGAGCTGAACGTCAACATGACTGGTGTTGAGGAGCTGAATGACTCGCTGGTATTTGTACTGAAAGCTGATAACATCCAACCTGCTAAAGGGGAATTCCACTTTACAATTGTGCCATATGATCCAGCACTTTTTCCAACCACAGAAAGTCCAGGCCCAACCACATCACCCATTCCTTTGACGCCAATCAAGTCTTCTAGAAATGGAAACGCTTCCCCCGTACCTGCTACAGTTCTCCTCTCCACCCAACAGCCAATCAAAAACCAGCACAAATTCAGGGGGCGCAACCGCTGGGGGAACTCGAACAGGACCAACTTCTTTGGCACGACTCTTGGCAAACCATCTCAAACGGAGGACTTGCCGTTTCTAAACACGCCAGTTCGAGTAGAGTCCTACCCTCAAAAAACCTCCAATCCGCTCCTGATCATCTTGCCACTGCTGGCCCTTCTGCTGCTCATAATCATCTTTGTGGTCCTGGTTGTCTATTTTCGACACCACAGACAACGGAAGCAGAGTAGTGCTTCACCACAGGAGCTTCCGTCCGCCGGTTCCTCAAACGGTCCATATTACAATGGCCAAACCCAGAGGAGCACAACAGTTCCCACGGTTACTGTCACCCCTTTGAACCCCACCGGCCCTGGTAGCCCTGTTCTGGATAGGTTGTTTACACAGAATCAGGATTCACTTTATGACACAATTGATTCAAAGGTACTTATAAGTTCTTGGAGTGATGGTTCCTCAGTAGCGTGTTCTCAGGTTATTAGAACCACTACTCCTACTCTGCAGAAGAATCAGTACTGGGTGTGAAATGTATTACCTTTTTAAAAATATTACAAGTTTATGAAACTTTTGAAAGGTATTATTGTTTTAGTGTTAAATAGCACGACAGGTTATAAACAGAATTATTAGCTCTTTTAAATATAGAGAGCTTTTTGACCCTTTGTTAAAGAAAGTAATATATAAATCAGTTTCATCACTCTCATGCTCATGACTTTCATTTCCAGAAGGCATCAATTGCCAAATGGCAATAAAAATCTTTGTGGACACCATCTCTATTCTTTTTATTGTTGTGATGATCTAAATTTTTTTACAAAATTGGTTTGGCTTGCTAAAAATTATTATCATAGGTCACATTTTCACATAATAATCTCATAGATCATTGCCTAAGGATTGTCTATGAAGTCTTCTGTCTCTGATGGATGAATTGACTCAGTAACTTTAAAGACAAATGAACACTAGAATAACGTTCTTCTACTTGACAATAGGGAACCCAGGTTTAGAAGAACGTTGGGTTTTCTTTCAGTTGCACAGTCTGTTTAAACATCGGTTAAAAACCAACCTACATCTGTATGTATTGGACACATTTTTCTTACTTGTAAATTTACAAACGGCCATCTTTGTAGTAAAATCAAAAAATGTCTAAATCTGTTTTGGGTTTTGATCATAAAAGATAAAAAGATCATAAGATAACACCTTAAAACTGTGATTTACTGCGATTGACACTGGCACGATGATGTATTGTCTTACAGTAAGTATTTCAATCGATTGTTCAGATTCTTTTATTGTTTTATTGTATTTTATATTGATGTTTGCTTACTTTTGTAAACTCAGGTATTTTTTTAACAATATGTTTGTGCCACCTTTGTTAAATGTTGCGTGTGCTGTCAGTTATCGAGGGTAAAGTTTGTAAAACTGACAGTTCTCTTGCTGATGCTTCCCAGTGTGGCTGTTTATTGAAACAGCGAGTTTTGTACAACTTTTATACCCACTATTTCCCCACACTGTCGTCACATTGTCACACTCTTTAGGCATATATATTGTACCGTATTGTACAAAATACTTCACAATTTTTGCCAATCTAAACTGTATTAGTACGGAAATGTGTTTCAGCATTAAAACTCAAACCAGAAATGAACTGTGATGGGAAATAACAGCCTAAAGTGGAGCATTTTGAATCTTCAGGAGTATTTTTTTAAGGTACAACTACTGAAAAGTCTTTCCGAACAAATAGCCTTTATTGACTGAAATGAGAGTTAGTATTTATATTATTTATCCAAGTCTGTATAATCTGTTCTTAAATAAATTTGTGTATAAATGAACTCTAAAATGACTGAATGAGCAGGTCAGCTGTGACGTTAATGCTGTCACAAAAACAACACTGTAAACCACTGAAAGTTATAAAATAATGTTCAAATATCTAGTGCGTCTCATTTAAATGGTATTGATTTGTAACAGAATTGCCATGTTTATTTATATATTATTTTTAATAAATCACTTTAAAATGTTGTGTCTCATAATCAGTAGCATCAAATCATCCATTGTTTAGTTATTTATGTCAATACCTGATCATTCTTAGTAAATTCTGAGGTATTTCTGATTTCTTCCTCATAAATGAGTTTTTGGCAGTTTTCGTTGCGTCTAGTTACTAAAACGTTATAAGCAGACGTGGCTCGACAGCACAACAATGCTCAACTTGTAAGTGAAGTGAAATTGAGGGACTAAACGGACGGGCTGATGAGAGGAGTGGAGACACCTGGGCAAACAGAGAACAGGTGTAGGTGGGCGTGGCAGGACTGGAGAGTGAGACTAACTGGACAAAATCTGACTGAGGGAGGAGTGTGGTGACACAGAGGAACACAAAAACACTAAACAAGTAGCAGAACTAAGCTCAAACGTCACAAAACCCAGACAATAAAACATGATAACCAAAATGGAATAAACACAAACGAGTGCCAGAAAAGCAACCAAAAAATATATAAAGATTTTGACCATTTTTGTGTCCAAGAATCTGATAATTTGGGGAAATGAGTGATAAATATTGGACATTTTTATCCAAATTTCAGGATTTTCACTTGAGGGGTGCTTGAGCACCCCCAAAAAGAGGCTAAAACCGGCACTGCTTTGAACGCTGGTTTGTGTTTAAAACTGTAAGGCGTGAACATGGACGGATGCGATTCTGTTTAAAAGAGAGAATCCTGCTTGGAATGCTGGGAACTTTTTTCTTGGTCCACGTGTAAAATATACGTATGTCAGATCCTTTCCAGCCTCATCTTTTCCCTGCACTTATTGTACCCACCCATCTGTGTTTTTCCACCAACAAGTCATTTATGTTCTCCAACAGAGGAAACTGGTGCAGAGAAAATGCTGACATGACAGCGTGAGTTACAAAAATGGGAATGTCTGCAAGGAAGAGGTCGTGTGTTCAGCAGAGTCAGGGTCTAAATTATCACCGTGTTCACCATCTGGAGAGTTATTCAGCCCAAGTGTTAGAGGCACAAGCTACTAACATTATTATTCTGTAAAACAAAACACAGAGAGAAGGACATGTCAGATGGGTTCTTAAGCATCGGATATTAGCTCTCACAAGTAATTTAAGGGTTGGAAATTGTGGAGCTGGTGCTTAAAGAACAATAGCCCTCTTTATAAAAGACGAGGCAGCAGGAGACAGAGACATCTTGGCTCGTTTGGTTTAACAAGGTTCCACTCAGACAAACCCAGATGGTTAATTAAGTCCCTTTAACTCCACTTGGATCTTATGGACTGTTTCAGTTGTAAAAAATAAAATAAAATACTTGATTTTCTTTGTGAGAGACACTCAGAAAAAGCCATCAAAGGGCCTTTTAGTTCACAAAAGCTCATCAAGGACTAAAATACTGCAGAGGGGTTCAGAATCTTACAGTCGGGTGCTGAAAGTCGTACGAGGAAGAGTTTAACACAAACTGTGACGCAATCCAAAAAGTCTTTCTGCAGTCCAGCTATACCAAACACAGTTATTGTGTTTATTTCCTCTGAGCTTTCTGATCTGTGTTTCATTGGTGTGACTTGAAATAGCTCTAAAACGTAACTGATGGTGGTCATAATCAAAACCTGTTCATGAGAACACAAGAACATCTTTACGAAAAGAAATAGTTTTATCTGCAGTTTTAGACATTACTATTTATTCATAAAAAGCATTTTTAATGTATATTTTGCCTTGTTGTTTAAATATTAATATTTAAGGCTCTGGTTGTTTTTTTAATAACGTGTCTGGATCATCACAGAAAATGCTCCTGTTGTGTTTTTAAATATTCTACAAAAACGATTAAATTTCATCCGTTTCTGTCAAAAACAGTCAAACGCCGTTGGTTAAATTCGCAAACAAAAACACAAGTGGTCAACTCTCGTGCACGTCACGGTCCACTGGTTGATTCTCCTGTTTCATGCCGTCTGCAGATTCTTCTGCTGCTGGATCATTTTCCAGATGTTTGTCCTGAAACCTAACAGCAGCCTGAATGATGCTGGCATGAAGAACACAATCTGAGAGAATCAGCTGTTATTTGACTGAAATGTAAAAACAAAAACCAACACCACGTTACCTCAATGGTCCCCTTATAAATGAATAATTATTAGTTATTTCTAAATAAACCATTAATAATTAGTTATAGTGCATTACATATAAAGGAAAAAACACTTAATGAGCCATTTATTTGTTTTCTGTTCTCACCTTTTACTTGTTTCTTTTATAAATTAATCATGAAATATCTCCCTTTAAGTCAGCTTATTAATTCTTTATAAAGTGTTTATGAACCCGTTTGTAAAGCATCAATAAAATTGTCTTTATTGTGAAGATTGAGTCAAATTACAGGCTTCTGAGGCGAGAAACCATTAACCACTGGGGGCGATAAAACTGATGTCAGAGTGATAAACATTAAAGATGCACGATGAGAGGTGTGTCTGAATTAACATCACACTGTGTGTGTGTGTGTGTGTGTGTGTGTGTGTGTGTGTGTGTGTGTGT